GATCCTTGCCTGGCTGTTCCACTAGGCCAAGGGAGAGAGAGAGAGAGAGAGAGAGAGAGAGAGAGAGAGAGAGAGAGAGAGAGAGAGATTGGGCAGGGTGTGAAGAGGAGGGAGGGAGGGAGGGAATGGTCGAGTGGTTGGCTGGCTGATGATCAGATTCAGGTTGGGAACCCACAAAAACGTTTTTGTCGTTTCTTCATGTGCGTTCACTGCCATCTGTGTCTTCTTTGAGAAGAGAAGATGATGACCAATGGCTGATGAAAATCCCTTCTTTTCCCTCTTCTTTTCTTTTCTTTTAAAGAAAAAAAGCGAATGCCCATTGCCCAATCTTTACTTGACTGATCTGTAGTGACTCCAGCTGCTTCTACTGATGTGGATTTTTTTTTTCCCCTTCCCCTCCCTTCCCCTTCCATCCTCTTCCATCCCCTTCCATCCCGTCCTTTCCCTCGCCTTCCCTTTCCATCCCCTTCCGTTCCTTTCCTTTCCTTTCCTTTCCGTTCCATTCCATTCCATTCTTACTTCGTTCCATGCCATTCCGTTCTTCCTTCCCTTCCATTCTGTTCTGTTCCGTTCCGTTCGTACTTCCGTTCTGTTCCGTTCCGTTCCGGTCCGGTCCGTTCCGTTCTTACTTTCGTTCCACGCCGTTCCGTTCTTACTTGCGTTCCATTCCGTTCCGTTCCGTTCCGTTCGTACTTCCGTCCCCTTCCGTTCCGTTCCGTTCCGTTCTTACTTTCGTTCCATTCCGTTCCGTTCTTACCGTTCGTACTTCCGTTCCGTTCCGTTCCGTTCCGTTCCGTTCGTACTTTCGTTCCATGCCATTCCACTCCCTTCCGTGTGGTTCTGTTCCGTTACGTTACGTTACGTTCACATCTGTTCCGTTGCGCTGCGTTTACATCTGTTCGGTTGCGTCGCGGTACGTTTCGGTTCGTTCCCCTCTGTCCCGTTCCAATCCATTCCGTTCCGCTCCGTTCCGTTCCGTTCCGTTGCGTTGTCCCCTCCCATCCCCTTTCTTCTCTTCCCTTCTCTTTGCTTCCCGTCTCTGGAGAGTTCTTTCAATAACTGGCCGGTCGGGAACATAGCCCATACCATAACTGGCTGTTTGTGACCACCCAAACATACACATCTAGATGTGTATAAGAGACAGCACTATGACCAGCCGTTTGTGAAAACTATTCACTGCTTGTTTGGGAGGGACCACCACGAGTGGCCGGCTCGGAATGTCCCATGACTGGCTGGCGCGGAGCACACCCTTGCTGTGCAGATACAGATGAATCTGTGCCTGATTCAGATTCAGCTTCAGATGATGTGTGTTCGCAGATTTCAACAAGCATGCACAAGCGAAGTAGCGAGTCATGGATATGGTTCCAATACAGACGAATAGAACTGCAAAAAAAAAAAAAAAAAAAAAAAACGCAATTGCAAAGTGCACAAATACAGTAAGCACTCTGGCTGGATGGTTCGGAATGACATCTCATCATCATCATCAGCATCAGCATCATCATCATCATCATCATCATCATCACCTCCTTTGTTTGTCGGTGATTGTTGTGTTTACTTTGTACGGTTATCACAATGTCTGGATGCGTTAGGATCCCGATGGGAAAGTGGAGGGTGACCTGGAAGAGATTTACAAGTTTTACAAAGAGAGTAAAACAAGGTGAGCTTCGTTTTTTTTTTGTTTTTTTTTTGTTGCTTTTTTTGCCCCCTTAAAAGGCTTTCCTGCTAGGTTACCAATGGTCCGGGGGCCGGTCGTCTCCCCCGGACGTCTCCCCCATACGTCCGGTACCCCCGTCGTCCGGGAAAAAAGTTTTTTCTTTTCCTAAAAAAATAAAATAAAAAATTTTCGGTTTTCGATTTTTAACTCATGATTGACTGCGAATTTGAACATGACTCCGAGGCAAAAGTTGTTTGTATTGTTATGTTACATAACATATATTTTTTTCAGATTTTTCTGAGAACTTTTTTTTTTTTTTTTTTTTTTGCGCTAGGGCGGACAACCCCTGTCCGGTCGGACATCCCGGACGGTCAGGGGGGTCCCGGACGTCCCATCCAACAACCTAGCTTTCCTGGCTTTTTGATTGCTTGAAAAAGAAGCAAGTGTTTGTTTATTTTTTTTTGTTTTTATTCTTTTTTTTTTAATTTTACTTCAGGTGAGTGTTTTCGTGTGGGCACTAGTTTTTTAATTCTTTTCTCATTCGTGGAGGAAAAAAAACAAAGCTTAGACATGATGAGGGTGTGTTGTGTTCGGGGGGAGAAGGAAGGAACCTGCACGTGTCACAGGTCACGGATCACAGGTCTCTTATCACATGACTGATCACAGAACACACGCTCATTACCACTGTATCTAGACTGAAAGTTAGCCCAAATACAGTTTTAACGATCGTATGTTCAGCCCATTGCCGTTGTGAACCAATGGCGATCGTTGGACTTGTCAATCCAACGCATCTGCACGCCAAGAGAATGCGTGCTCAATATTGCTGTATCTAGACTGAAAGTTAGCCCAAATACAGTTTTAACGATTGTATGTTCAGCCCGTTGCCGTCGTGAACCGATGGGGATCGCCAACTTCTCAATCCAACGGATCTGCACACAAATTGTCTTCCCACAAATAGAAGAGAATGCATGCTCATTGTCTCTGTATTTAGACTGAAAGTTGGTCCAAATACAGTTTTAACAATTGTATGTATATTCAGTCCATTGCCCTCGTGAACCAATGGCGGTCGTCGGATTTGTCAATCCAACGGATCTGCACATGACCATTGTCTTACCGCAAATAGAACAGAAGGCGTGCTCATTATCACTGTATCTAGACTGAAAGTTGCTCCAAATACAGTTTTAACGATCGTATGTCTAATAAGGTGTAATGAGCTGGATGGATGGGTGATTGCCAGATACAGAGAGAAGTGCTTGAAAAAAGGTGGGGGATCTGTTTCTGGACGTATTTGTGGTCGGGATGCAGAGAAGTGTTTGCGTTTACAAGAGTTACAAAATCTGAGCGCTTTTTGGTGAGAGATGTGAACATGAGAAGCTTCTAGAAAAGAGAAGTGGTGGATTGTACGGCCGAGTGGTCGGCGGATGTATCTGACTTCAATTACGTCCAGAAACAGGCTGTTGATCCTCTTTTGTTCTCATAATAATGCAAATATATTTGTAAGGTATCAAAAAAAAAAAAAAAGTGCCTCGATGCTCGAGGAGGGAGAGAGACTTGCCAACTGCATTTGGGCCAATATTCAGTCTAGATACAGCGATAATTACTCTGTGTTGGGTGACGGCGGTAGGGGACTCAAATTATGGTTGATTGAAGATGTGGAGGGTGGTTGATGTCCACTCCACTCCACGGACGATGCGCCTTTTTTGGTCAGTTTGGTCTTTAATTCGAAATAATTCGAAACTATCGTATGCATATTCGGAGCGATCTTCAATTAGAAACTATGTAATCTGCCCATTACATCGTATGCATATTCTGAGGAATATTCTCTGTGATTTCTTGGAACAATTATGTATGGGCATAGATATAGAACTTGGGGAAGCCCATTACATCTTCGGGTGGAAAAAATGGATGTTGAAGGATGGATGGATGGCCATTAGATCTTCGAGTGAAAAAGATGGATGGATGGGTGGATGGATGGTATGAAGGATACCCCGATGGATGGATGGTATGACGGATACCCCGATGGATGGATGGTATGACGGATACCCCGATGGATGGATGGTATGACGGATACCCCGATGGATGGATGGATGGACTAGGATGGATTAGGATTGATAGATGGATGGATTAGGATGGATGGATGGGTTGAATGAACTTAATGAGTGGATGGATGGATGGATGGATTAGGACGGATGAATGGATTAGGATGGATGATGATAAACGGATGGAAGAGGATGGATGGAAGAGGATGGATTAGGATGGATGGATGGATTAGGATGGGTGATGATAAATGGATGGAAGAGGATGGATTAGGATG